CCCCTCCCCTGTCTCCCTCCATTTAATGGCATCTTATTAGGTTTTAAATGCCTTGTTTAGAATTCCTTTCTAAATTAACATAGAACATCTTGTAATTGCTTAGGGAACTGTCTGTAGTTAGCAAATTATTTTAAGTCTATTAATATCATAGACTTATCGTAGCTTTAATGTACCTTCATTTTATTATAGGGGTATACAAATGGCTTTGTCAGATATGTTAAACTGACAAAGCCATTTGTATATCAAGCAGCATAAGTGATAAAATAATCATCTTGATCTTGACAGTAATTTACATAGAGGTCCAGTAATTAATCAGATGGTTAAGTACATCTCTGCAAGTGCTGTATGATCTTCTGGGAGGAGGAGAGAAGTACGTTTGTATGTATAAAGAAGGGTGCACAGTTTCAGCTCTAACTAGCTGAATGAGAGCTTTTCACTTTTGCATCATGGGGATATTAAAGGTGACTGAAAAATTGATAAAGAACTCCTATATCTTCTTTGAAAGAGAAAATGCACATTATTTATCCAGTCTGTCACTTGGAAAAATCCCTAAGTTAAGGGCAGAGTCTGGTTTTCTTCATAGATCGTCCTGTGGGGCAGTGGTATTTTTTTCAATCCCTACTCATATCTGATTATACTTCAACATTTCTTTCTCATTCCCATTCACCTCACTTTAAAAAATAGTGACAGATCCCCACAATTCTATACTATTTTGGAACAGTTATATAATTGCCCTTTAAATCTAGGTATATTCTCAGAAAAACCTTCCTAGTTCCTATGACTTTCTAAACCTTGCTTGTCCTCCGAAGCATGGTCAACCTAGGAACTTCGTAATAACTCTTATGAATTCTCCATATTTAATTCCACCCTCTGAACGCTTGCAAAATTTAGTCTAAATGACCAACATAGGACTTAAATGTACAATCTATCTTCCATTGATTTTGAACTTGTTTCATATATTAAATCATGGTGTGACAATATTTTAAGTTAATTGAGGGTGATGATGGTGTCTTTGACTTTTTTCTCCTCTTAATTTCCTGGCATGGTGCTGGGCACATAGTAGATGCTTAGTAAAGACAGATGCTTAGCTAATGCATATGGGTGGTTGCAATTTGTAACTTTGACCTCTGATTTTTATCTTCTTTTGAATTTAAATAAATTTGCTAGCAAAGCTACCTAGCTAGGCATTCAAGACAACCTACTTTGTTCCCTTCTAACCAGTTTCCCCAGACAACTGTGGCTGAAGGCTGATATCAGATGGATAAAGAGTGGGCCACATATTTATTCATAGTACTGCTTATCCAGCTGTCCAGAAATGGAGTGGGCAGCTTTGCAAAGTAGTTAGCTGTTGTCACTGGAAGAAATCAACTGGAGGTTCTGTAGCATGTCAGAGATATGGGAAAGAGGATTCCTTGTATTTTCATGGTCCTTTGCAATGCCTTAATTCCACAGCTGTATATGTCATGGTCTCTATTTGCTTGATTACTTCCACCTAATTAATTTTCTTGAGTGGAAATATTCAGAAAATCAGAAGGAGTTTTCTCCTTGCAACATACAAGGATTCTTCAAGAAGTTTGTGGAAAACAGAATTAAAAGACAATACAAATCTTTCCATGAACTTTTTGAAGACCCCTCCTACACAGCATGCCCTTCAGAAGAAACCATTGGTTTGGGAGGTAGAAACCACAGACTTTGACAGATAGATTAACTCCAGCCCTCTACATAATAATGGGAAAGCTCCTAAACCCTTTGTCTCTGTAGCATATCTCACAAATTATAGTTGTAGCCTAATCAAGGTTTATAAGTTACTGAAAGAACTACCAGAAGAAGCAAATAATTATAATAATATAAAGATTCAGTGCTTTGCTCAATGGATGAGGTCAGAATGAATGTGACTGTGAGGAGCAGTGGGTAGAAATGGCTTTATCAGAAGCGCGGCCAGAGGGGCAGGCCTTACAGAGAGGACTG